GCCGTTGCCGAGGAGGGGAGCAGCACCCCCAAGGCCGCGGCCTTCCCCAACCAACGGGGGTGTACGGGCTGATTAGTCAAACACTAATTAGGTTTTTTTTCTTGATTAGTTTTATTTTTTATAATCATTTTATTTAGTTTTTTTTATATATCTCCCGATCCGCGCGCTTTCGTGCGAGCCGCGCTGGGAGCAAAGTTCGCCCTCTCCTCGAGACGAACGTTTTGAGACGTTTTTTGAAAAATTCTAACGGCTAAAAAAAAAAAGATATGAAATTTTTTGTATTTTTTTAATTAAAAATCTGAAAAATAATGGATTAAAATATCTAATTGGTTTTTCCTCGATATCTCCTGATCCGTGCGTTTTTGCGTGAGGCGCACTGAGAGCAAAGTTCGACCTCTCGTCCAGGAGAACGCTTTGAGACATTTTTTGAAAAATTTTAATGACTAGAAAAGGAGATATGAATTTTTTTGTAATTTTCTAATTAAAATTCTGAAAATGATGAAATTCCTTTTATTTTAATTACAAAGAAAAGAAGCGAAATTAGGTGAACCCCGCGTGGACCAAAGTTGGTCCTTGTATTTTTCCCGACATTTTGAGACCTTAGTCGGGGAAAACGGACTCCGTTAGGACGAGTGGTGACCGCCAACAGACTGGAAAAGAGGGGGAAATTAAGAGGAATTAGTGATTTTCTTTATATTCTTATAAAAATAAAAGGGAAACAGAAGTCGGCAAAAGTGATCCGTTGGAACCCGGCTTTTAACTGACTACAAACCGACGAAAAATTTTCTGCCTCGAGAAGTCGGACGTGGTGGCGTGTGGTCGCGCGCAAAACCCCAAAACCCTAATTGAGGGAAACCCTAATTAGGGTAAACCCTAACCCTAAGTTAGGGAAGGGTGGTGCGTAGCCGCGCGGATACAAGTCTTAGCATCCAACCGCTGATGGGAAAATTTTGTAAAAATCCAGTTGACCAAATTGAAATTAATCAATATTGGGAATTTTGTTTTTATTAAATAATTTAAGTTGTAAATTTGTTTTAAGTAATAATTTATCATTAAAAATCGATTAAAAATCAAAATAAATATCTAAAATTCTTCAAGAAAGGGGAGTCGGCTTTATTTCGACTTTGTGATTCGGGAGATACTTCGCTTAACCCTATCCCAACGGGGGGGGAAGCAAAGTGCTGCCGAAATTTCTCGGCTATTTGCTGAATTTTATTGAATTAAATCTTAAATAATTAAAAAAAATACTTGAAAATTAGCTAAAGATTGAGATACTTTTTCAGTTCTTAATCTTT